TATATATATAACTATTTAAAATATTTTTTACACTTTTTTTAAAAAATTTTTTTAGTTTATATATCAGCCTACAGACCCTCTTATGTGCTTTTTTGGATCTCCAGCTCGCCATGTTTTCCTGCTAAAAGAGGCGATATATCAGTCAAATAGACTGTTATTTATGTTAAAGAAGGAGTTGTCAATCTTTTCTGACCCAGGGAGCCACTACCAGACATTCAGAGGCCCTGGGCCCCTCAATACATGTGTAATTTTTCTTTAATTACGTGAGAAATATTAAAAATGTTATTCATATTCGCTTAGGCTTTGATCATAATTAAAAAAAGAATATTTAAAATAGAATATTTTATAACATACTGAATATATGACTTATTTGTAATTTTTAAAGAAAATGTTTTACTCAGAAAATATGCTAAAAGACATTTTTAAAAAGGTCTCTCCCGGAAGAATTTTAGAATTTTTATCATAGATTAAATTGAAAGATTCTATATGTTAGAATCTTATTCTATATTCTATCAGTACTGTTGTTGTTACTTGTATGTTTTTGTATAGTGAAGTGATTGCTGCTTAAGACAATGTTGTATTATTGTAAATGATGTACTGAAATGATACTGTTAATGTTGCCATGAATATAGCCATTGTTGCTGATATTACAATTTTCTTTTTTTAGTTCAGAACAGCCTACAGACCCTCTTTTGTGCTTTTTTTGTATCTCCAGCTGCAGGAGGTTTGAAGTATCTCTCATTCTCTCATTCAGGGTCTCTCGCAGGAGTGAAGATGAATAAACAGCCCAGTAAAGAGACTCTGCGGGACCGATTCAAGGTGATCTTTGGCCTCGGTTCGACTCGGCCCCACAGCAAACAGACCGAGAGCAAACCGTCAGAGTTCGTCATCACGCTGGACATCCTGATGGTCAGAAACGCTCCAATCAATCATTCCCATCATCGATATTGTGTTTCTCATGTAATCTCTCTCTCTTCCTATCCTTCAGGAACTCACTCCAGAGTACAACCTCCACCACCGGATCAGAGTCATCAACCACGTGTGCGACCTCGCCAAATCTAAGAAGTTTGAGGAGGTGAGAGCGTAGAGAAGCATCTGCCTGCTCCTGTATGTGCAGATGAGCGGATCTACAGTGTGTTGTGTGTGTTTCAGCATGCGGTGGAGGACGTTTGGAAGGCTGTGGAGGACATGATACAGCCTGAACAGCCGCCTGAAGCCCGTCATGCAGTGCTGGTGCTGCTGAGAGCCATTATACAGGGACAGGTGCACATTTCGAACACCTTACGAGCCACAATGCAACATGGTGGCAAACACCACTCACGCTTTCCTCATGATCTTCTTGTGCAGGGTGAGCGCTTGGGTCCACTCAGAGCCTACTTCTTTAAGATCGTTTTGGACTATCAGCCCTGTAATGAAGATCTGGCCGAGAGACTGGAGGTGTTCAAGGCCCTCACGGAGAACGGGAAAGACATCACCTACCTAGAGGAGGAGATCGGTATGGATCACACATGCTGGTGTTCTTTAAAGGGGTCCTATTATGCTTTTTCACTTTTTCAACTTCACACTTCAGTTCAAACGTTTGGGGTCAGTAGGATTGTGTTTTTTAAAGAAATAAATACTTTATTCAGCAAGGATGTATTAAATCGATCAAAAGTGACAGTAAAGACATTTACAGAAGATTTCCGTTTCAAATAAATGCTGTTCTTTTGAGCTTTCCTTTCATCAGAAAATACAGTATTATGGTTTCCACAAAAATATATAGCAGCACAACTGTTGTCAACATTGATAATATTAAGAAATGTTTCTTGACACCAAATCAGCATATCAGAATGATTTCTGAAGGATCATATGACACTGAAGACTGGAGTAATGGCTGTT